TAATAACTTTTTCTTATTTTTAGTAAAACATAAATTCTCATTCTAAAAACCATTGATTATATATAAAATAATCTTTGTTTATATAAAAAATTATCTATAGAAAAAATTATATTTTCATAAATAAAATTTCTTGTTATATATATATATATATATGCATTTATACGACAAAATTTATTTACTATTTGTTAAGTTATTCTCTTAAATAAAATGTGTGAATATCTAACTTTTTATATTAAATTTATTTTACTAATTATTATATTTAAAAAAATAATGTTTTTTATTGATAAATATTTGAAATAACCTGTAGGTTATTCACGCTAACCTGTTTATGTAATGTTAATATAATGTTACTCTTAATGTAACATCCTTTTTTTTAATGAATATATCAGGTGAAACAATTTTGTATAATGAGATTTTATATAACTTTTACTGTAGAAATTATTTAACATCTTGATATAACCCAAATTATATTTTATCATTTGCTGAATATTGTTATATATACGTTGTTTACTACTACTTCAATAAAAACTTAATGTTTAGTTACTATTTCCATCATTTTATTTTTTTGAAAAAATAAATTAGATTCAAACTACTTTTTTAATTTTTCCTTTTAATGCTGACACATTAAATCATTTTTATGAGTTAAATTTTTCGTAAATGATTTATCATAGGATTTTATGTTTTCTTAATCTTCTAGTTTGACTTGAAATGCATACATAAAATACTTATTAGTTCCTTTAGCAAATAAGTTATAATGTTTTCATGACATTTTTTCTATTATAAACTATTTGTGCTCACCATGGTAAATATAGTCTTAACTTGTTTAATGAAAGTTTTCATGCTTATAACTATAATAAAATATTTATCTTCATTTCACAAGCTGTACATATTTTAACTAAGAAACTTATAATTTAGGTTCTTCCTCTAACTCTATTGTCTAAATAGTAGATATGGTATATAAAAAAGATTTAGTATCTCGTAAGACTCAAAATTCTTTTGTGTTAATTTTAACTATTTGATTAAAATTACTGATAATTCCATTATTATTATAATTAACTAAATGGGAATATTATTCACATTTTTTTACTTTTTAACCTCTTTATTTTTTATTTTTTAATGTGTTCTCAGTTTCTTTTTCTTTTTTTACTATAATGATTCTACCTTTTTTTTCTATAAAGTTATCAATGCTCGTCTTGGATTTCGTTATTATGACATCTCACATTTATTTAACTCTTCTGTTTTTGAAGAAAAGAAAAATAATGTTAGAAATAATTTTGTACTAAAAAATGTTTCATGAGTTCATTTCATTTTTAAATAACTCTATAATGATTCTACATATTTTATTAAATTCTGTACTTTTCATTTTACTATATTATTTTTTTGCATTTTTATTAAATTATCATACATTTACATTATTTCATTTTTTTCTCTCTATACATGTAATTTTTCTTCATTTTAACTATGTTACTATAAAAATAACACTTATTATACACTTAAGATATATTATTCCTATTATTTTCTTATTATTTACATATATTAGTATCTCTTGTGATGTAAATTTAAAAATATATATTTTCTCTAGTATTAATATGAAAAGTACAATATCTAAAAAAATCTTTCTATATGTTGATCTTTTAATATAATACCTCCTATAAGGTCTAATATATGTGCTAAAAAAGTTTTCTTATGTTCAATTTGTGTTGAATCATTAGGTTTATCAAATAAAAGGAGACTTTATACTTTATATAACCATTAATAAATAATTCTAAGGATTCTGAATAACTGGTTTTTCGATTACCTTTTATAATGTCCTATAAGTATAATTTTTTTTTTTTAGCAAATAAAAACTTGGATAATAATATTTGTAATAATATTATTTTAGGTACATGTTAATTTAAAACATAATTTTCTAATTCCTTAAAAGGGATCTTAATCAACATATATTCATATATGATTTATATTTCATTTATAGACTATCTTAGTATATTCTCTAAGAATTCAAAATTATCCAATCAATCAAAATAATTTTATATGGATTTTTTATTTAACCTGAGTCGTACATCAAGTATATGGACCCATATATTTTCATTATCTTTTCGTAACTTGAGTTCATATGATTTGTCAAACTAAACTATGTTCTTTATCTCATTGATGTTTCTTAAATTCTTCATTCATTACTATATACATAGAATACATAATTTTAAAAGGAGATAACAATCATAATTATTATGGTTCTAGATTAAAAGCTTAAAAAAATAAGTGTTTTGTCTTTCAAATTAATTTATAAGTTGCATTTAAAATGAATGTTAACTTATAATAATTATGTAAACATAGTGTAACAAATATTAAAACATCATATATTTAATAAACAAATTTTCTATCATTTAAAATTTTTATTCTACAAAGAAAATACGTGTGATTTATAACTAAAAGCATTTTCTTGATCAAAATTTACATTTTTCATCTCCAAAATGTAAATTACGAAATAATAATTATCATTTCAATCAAAAAAAAAAAAAAATATAATTTAAAAAAAAATTCTTTTTTAATAATCTTTCTTTGTATAACTACTTTAATGCATACGATTAGTTCTTACTCATGATCTCCTTTTATGAGATTCTATTAAATTATTTTATATAAATGATATTTATGTCTAATAAAGTTAATAACGCTTTTTATTAATAAAATATTCGTTCGATTTGAATCTTAACAATTTGACAAACATTTAACTCATAAAATTTTACTAAATTTTACGATTTTTATTTGTCAATATTATATTAAAAGGGAAAAAAAAAAATTATTTTTCTTTAATTTCAATATATTACCATTTTATTTAAAATAAAAATTGTTCTCTCACTACATGAGATTACATTTGTAAAATTCAAATTTCTCAACTTATTTAGGTTAATTTTATTTAAATAAAAAATTTTGATTTCATGTTATACTTAAATTATATTTAAATCATTTTTATATTTCAAACAATAATAATTCAAATGAAAATATAAATTTCATTAATTTCGATGAAAAAATATAAATTATAAGATATTTAAATCATCAACATTATTAATTCAAAATGAAAAAAAAATAAAATAACAAAATTAAAAAGCAAATTGTATAAACTACATTTTTTTTTTGAATTTTAATTATTTTGTAATGTTAATTTTAAAAAATAATAATGTCCAACTATATTTTCATTAATTTTATAGCTAAAAAATTTTGGTTTAAAATAAAAAAAGTATTAAAACAAATAACAGTTTTACTTTTTTATTTTTAAAAGCAGTATATGTAAAAAAAATATATAATCATGGAATAATAGGAATTAACAAAATAAAATAGCATATATAGATAATATAAAATATAAAAACATTGCAAAGATAAGAACAAATAATATAATGAATTGATTGATATTTAACAAAAAAAAAATAATTAAAGTGAATTTTTATATAAAATATTATAATAAAATTTATGATAACTAGCTAAATTATTTTTATGTTTTTACATTTAATTTTCTAAGATCCTGCATATCTTTTAGAATATCTTAATTTATAATATATATAAATATATATAATCTATAAATATAATTAAAATATATATAAAAAGTTAAATATTTCCGAAGTTTTATAATTATACATAGATTTCTTAAAGAAAAATACAAATAAAAATATGCTTTAAATTGGTGTTTCATTATGAAATATTACTTGCTTTCATTAAAAATTAAAAATTTATAATAAAAAATTCACATTTTTAGAGAAATTTTATTTATTCTCTGATTAGGTATTTATAATAATTAAAAAAGGAAAAAAATTATATCCTTATTTATTTTCTTTTTTTTTTTGTTGAAAACTGTAATCTTTTTTCAAGTTCTTTACTAAATGTTTTTTAATTTTAATATACCGAAGCATATTTTTTAACAAATTTCTATAATAGTTTTTTTAAGTGTTTGTTAAATGGTTTGTTTTAAGAAGTTATTTATTTTCCATATCTTTTTTTGGAAAAGAAAAAAAAAGAAAAGAGAAGAAAATCATTATATTAACCCTAAAAAATGTATGTTAATGTATTTTAGTCAATTATAATTAATAAATTTAGATATTAAAATAATGAAAATAAAAATAATTTTAACATTACAACAAAGTTAACCAAAATATTGAACCACATACTTCTAGTTATATAAAGAATAAAAATACATATATATATATATATATATATAGCATTTCTTAAATTGGTATGAAATACATTTGAAGAATAAAAAAATATATATAGCATTTCCTAAATTATTATAAAATAAAATTAATTAAAGAAAAGGTTAACGGTTATTAAAAACGCATGTTCTAAATTTGATTAAACCACTTTTATTTAAATACAATTCTTATATATTTGTTATTTCCAATCATATAATCTATATAATGTCTATATAATTTTTATTATAATTACCTAAATATTTATAAGGGGAAAACAATTTTTTATAATTAAAAATAACTTTTTTTCATGAATATTTTTTATAAATATATGAATAAAAAGATAATGAAGTATTGGCATTGCATGTACAAACAAATTTTCAAATTATTTTTGTTAAGATAATAATCGAAGAAAATATAAAAAAAAAAAAATGCACAAGTCATGAATTAATATAAAAGATTATTTTAAGAAATGTAATAAATTAACCACATTAATTTTTCTTAAATTTATAAAATTTCATGAGGCTCAATTTCCTAGACCTATTATTTTAATAATTAAATCATATTAATATACAATTTTCACATATTTATGTTAAAATATATGTTAATTTATTTTCTTATATTTTGTAATATCCTTTTTATTAATAGAGAGTCTCACATTATTATTTCATTTGCGTAGCACAATCTATTCCCCTTATTTAAAACACTTGAGTTAATAACAAGGAAAATTATTTTTTTTTAAATATTTTGTTATATTTAGGAAACATATTGAATTAATTTAATTTGTTATTATATTTCTAAATTTACTGAAACTATAAAAATAAAATGGATAAAGATAAAAGGTTGTTTGTATCAACTTTATTTATCCAACTCTTAAAATCACATCATAAAATTGTAAGAGTAAATGTTTTGATTGTTTTCTTAAATATTACTATATTTTATCTCTTAATTTGCATATGCCGTTGTTTTTGCATTACAAAGTAAGATTTATGTTTTAGTTTTATAATCATATATATGTATATATATTTTTTTAATATATTTAATATTCTTTTAATATAAATAATATATTTTTTTTTTATGTATAATTTATAATTTTAATTATAGAGATTCTGTCAAATATTTTAATTGCAAATATGTGTTAAATGATAAATTAAAAGTAGGATACGAAAGATGTTTATCGGAAGCAGATGAACATGAATTGTTACATGGATTTTATATACCTGAAAGTAAGGTAGAAGAAAGAACTGTAAATCAAGAAGATTCACCAGAAGAATCATATGATTCAGATGATTCTTATTCGGAAGAAAATAATTCAGCGAATTATAATGACAATGGAGAAAGTTTACAAATGGAGTTATTGAGGGATTTATGTAAAAAATTATCTTATATATGGATTTCTTTTTATTTTGAAATGCAAGAAATTTATCAAGAAAAAACAAGAAGAATGAATTCAAGTTGGAGATTTAATATGTGGTATTCTGAATGGGTAAGTTATTTAAAACTTTGCCATGGCATTATAATGAGGATGATGGTAAATTTAAATTTGTCTATTGAATATAAGGAGAGTAATTTTCATAGTTGGTTGAATTTCATTAGTAGAGATTTTCAATCATTTTTAAAAAAGGTTGAACAAAATTGGATTGGATGTAAAATAACTACTGATGATTTAGATAGATAAAGGAAATTAAGAAAAACAATATTAAAAAAACACGGAATGAAAAACTCAAAAGTATAAAAGTAATTATTTCGAAAAAATAAATAAAAACTAGTGGAAAGAAGAAAAAAATGTTGAAAAAAATACATAAAATTGTACAAGAAATATATATGAAAAAAAAATGAAATATTAGTAAAGAATAAATCATATTTGCAGTTGCCTTTATAACTTCAAAATATTTTATAAGAACAAGATTTGAATATATTAATCCTGGATTTAAAAAAAAATTCCATATAATTGAACTTAATAAATTATAATAATTTTATTAAATGATTTTTTTTGTTTTATCCAAAGAGATAGAATGGTTAAAAAAACAACGAATGTTATAGTCATTTGAAAATAGCATTAAAGTATGATTAAAGATAAGTATATATTTTTTGTGAGGTTTACGAAAAGTTATTTGATTTCATAGAATAACCTGTTAAGATCTTTTTTATTTCATTTGTAAATTAGAGAAATAACAAAATGAATGTATATATATTTACTAAAAGAAAATGAACTCACATAAAATACAAAAGAAAAATCAAATGAATGCAGAAATACGAACAAATAAAAAATATTTACGTATTTTTGTAAAAAAAATGAAATATATAAAGTGCGATAACAAGTAAATAGATAGTATAAAAGAGAACATATAAAAAATAATAATTTTTATATTATACTTGTGGTTAAATTAATCTATTTTGCAGAGAAAACGTCAGATGAAAGAGAAAAGAATTAAAGTACAAGTTGAATAAAACGAAAATATGATGAAACTTAGAGAGATATAAGGATTACAAAAATTTTCTTTAATCATATAATGCCTAATTATTTTTTTTTAATGTTTCTGTAAATATTTTATTAATTAGGAATTCAACGACTCTAATAGAATATTTAACATAAATATTAACAAATAGAACGCAGATGTTACCTAAGAATTATAATTACTGTAAATAAAGGTATAAAAATACCTTAAACACGTGAAATATACAAAAGAGCATTTGTGTTCAAAGCATTTATTTACTTTAATATAAAATTACCCATATTTTCACTAAAATCATCGTTAGAGTTATCAGCAGCATTTTCAGAATATATAAAAATTAAATATTAACAATAATAAAATACTCTTTCATATAGCTTAGAATTAAACTTTTTCATTATCCCCAAAAATTAGTTAATCTCATTTAAGAAAGGAACATTTTTTAAAAAATAAAACTTTAAAAATATAATTAACAAAATTTAAAAAAAAAAATGATACATTTTTTTATATAGTATTCTATTTTTTAAAACATATTTGCGTATCAAACTTGTTTTTTTCCATACAATTTACTAACTGTTATTTTATATAAAGTTAATATATTCAACTAACAACACTATATCACCTAGAGAAAAACAGTAATGTCTCTTGAGATTGTTTTACTTAATTTGTTTTATAATTTAAAATTTTTTTATATTCCTTCATTACTATTTTTACTCTTATTATTAGATATCTTACTAGGTAATTTATAAAATTCCCATTTAAAAACTTTTATAAAATTTTGAATAGACAAGTTAATAAAGAATACGTAGAGGGATTAATTAATTTGTTTATTATAAAATACATTATATTATATATAACTATTAATAAATTATCACTTAATTTCTACTTTATTATTTATTTAAAACTTCATTTATACTTTACATAATTAAATCATACATAATATTATGCATTTTTACTACAATGAACATAATGCATTATGCAGAAAAAAAAAAAATATAACAAAATATAATAAAATATTTTCTTTCCACACGTACAAAAAAAAAGAAAAAAAAAATGAACATTATAATAAAAATATTTAACTTTTTTCTTTTTAAGATAACCTATCAAAACGTGTAATGTGTAAATTTTTTGTTTAAATGTTTTCTTAGGATTTATATAACATAGTGTATACATATCAATATAAGTATTTTCTTTTGATGTATTATATGTACATGTAAAATTGAATCTATTTTACCTTTATTCTTGTTTCATTTAAAAAAGTATATCCGTAATACTGTTAACCATTAGGTAAAATGCTGCTTCATCTATTGATTTCTAAATAACTTTTATGTTTTAACGTACACACAGAAATTGACTTTATTTTATACTAATCATTCATTTTTATTATACTTATCACCTGTATATAATATTCCCATTGTCTATCTTTTTGTGAATGGAATAAAAAATTATTAACCTATATAGTAAATATATAGTGATTTTAAAATTCCCCTTTCAATTTTAGTAACCTTTTGAAAAAAAGACCGATATGACTTATATAGCATATTTACTCTGTATAGATTCATCTGATTTCTTTCTTATTGAAATAGTTCTTATGAAACAATATTTTCAATACTAACATTTTTATTTTTGATTATGCGTTTTACAATTTTATATAATTTGTCATAAACCTTTTTCAATTGGTCGTTAGAATATATGTTTCTCATTTTCGATGTAATTTCAGATGATGTCTTTAGAAAACTTGGGAACACAATAATTTTCAAATAGAGAAATATGATATTTTTTATATGGTTTCGCGAAATGAAATATTATCAGTACCATATTTTTAACTATTTCTTTAAAAGGCATATTTTTTGTTCATTGAAAGTTTCAGATAAATAAATTTGTTTATGAAATCTTTCATTTGTGTTATCTCCCTGTAGATTATATTAATTAAAGTAATAAAATTTTATTTGTAATTCTTTAATAATATAATCTTAATTTTTTAACATGCACAAATCGAACTACAATATGTTAAGACATTTCTCGCTTATTCAAACTTAAGAATAAAAGAATTTTTTGTTATAGCAACAGAATCTCTGCCCTCATGTTTTTTTTAATTACATTTATCGATATAAAATACATGTAATAATAAGTCATTGTATTTATTAAATATTAATTTTCTTTTTGTGATATAGATTCCATAATGTTTAATAAAACAATATAAAATAAAATTTTGATGATGCTTTATTTTTTTTATTAGGTTTAAATAGTTTACTGCATATAACCTGATACACCCAAAATTTGTAACACTGTATAATATGGATTCCAACATTAAGCTACTAAAAATATTGTTGAATATTTTTAAGCCTTTTAATGATTTAGAAATACTTTCTAAGATTATTATTATGAAACCAATATGATAAATAAATTCTATACTTTTCTAATATATATATTGTTCATGATTTATAATGGTAAAAGAAATTGTTTATCTATACTAACCTTATTTGTATATTATTTTTATGTTCTTGTGCAACTCCCGTAATTCCTTAAGATGGAATAATATAAGAACCTTTAAGTTCTTCTAATGTTAGGTTTCAATTTAATGTTATGTAATTTGATAGATACGACTCACAACATATTCATCTGGTAGTATAATTGATTAAAATGTTCGAATTTTTTAAATATATTAAAGTTTTAAAATTATGATAATCCTAATTTCCATCTGCATAAATTTCCGTTATTAATAGAATATATTCTTATGATTTCATTATAGTTAGTTTTAATCAATATTATAAATTACTTAATATAATAATCAAATGTTTAACAAGATAAAAGTATTGAGAATAATTTTTTTTTAATTGTTACACATTTCTATTGAACATCATTTAATTTCTTTGATATATAATGAATAAATAGATTTTGAGAAGTATATTTATCTATTTGATTTAATGCATATCCTATAAAATTATCCGATCAATAGGTGTAAATAATACAAGTTTTTTAGGGATCAATATATCATAAATAAATTATTTTGGTTGTCTTTTCGTTAATTTGTTTGGGCTTATATAAGTAATCTCTATTTTATATAAACTTAATAATGAGATTTTCTTAAAAGTCATCTCTGAAAAATTCTCAATTTCTTTAGCAATTAACATAACTTAAATACTATTTTAGCTTTTTTTTATACTTAGATATTCTTGAATAATTGTTTTCACTTTATCCAATGAAGATCACATCATTTTATTATTTATCAGTCCTAAGTTATAGTTACCTTAAATATTGAACCTTTTTATACATTCATTCCAAAATTGTTTTTAATAAGTAATTCAGATACTATTTTAAATGCCTTAAAATATGTAATAATAATTTTAGTGAAAATAATAATGCCATCAATATATATAACTACATAATTCTCTTGAATAAATTTCATAAAAACATTTTCCATAATTTTTTGAAATTATACAGGGATATTATTTATTTCAAAAGTACATTAAATGCAAAAGTTCCACGTTTGAGAACTGTGATTCCTCTGTGTATTTTCTACCTTCATTTAGTTCAATATTATATAATCAAATTTTAAATCCCATCTTTGAAAATGATTTGGAACAAAAAAATACTTGGATTATATGTCTCACTGTGGAATAAGTTATGAATCTTAGACTATATACTTATCTAAATAGAAATAGTTGGTATTAATATTCTTGGTAGAATCTTTTTTTTTAATACAATTAGTGAAGTACACATATCAGTGTGAATTTTATATGAGGAGTTTAATTGTAGCATTTAATCGATATTTCAATATAACTCTTCTAACATCTCTCTATTCTAAAAAAGTTGATTATTCTTTGTAGTTTTCATTAAATTTGAATAGAAACTTTATGTTTAGTTTCTGTTCCTATAGTTTATTGTCCCAAAGAAACAAAATAAATTTGAATTCTTTTATAAATTTACCCTTTCTATTCTTAGAAATTTAATCAGCTTTATCAATAAAACTTTAAATAATCGCTTGATCATATTCCTTTATCATCTCTTTTTCTTCAAGTTTTCATTACATTATATGCATATAATTTTCATTATTTTTCGTAATATAATATCTTAGTTGATTCAAGGTAATTCCAACAAGTGATTTTGTTGTATTTAACGTACTAAATGTTATTATATATTGGATATTTGCAGATTCCATATTTATCAATAGTTTTTTAGATATTATTATTTATGCACTGATATTCCGCAATTTTTAATTAATGAAACATCTTAACCTAATTATATTTTTAATGCTTTTGTGAAGGCAACAAATATGATATACAATTTAGCCTACACATCTAATAAAACGTACATTCTTTCTTTCCACTAATTTCAATTAGTATTGAATTTTTACAGAAACTTTTAATGCTTAAGATTTTGTAGCTTTTTAAGATGTAAATATCTTTCTCTACTTATTGTTTGTCTTTTGCTTTTTGCTTTGTTTTGGTTGCTTCTTTTTGTATTCCATACTGTCCTTATTAAATTTTTTGAAAAAGCTTTTATCATTTTCTTTTAATTTATTACAATAAATCTTGCTATATTTATTTTTTTGTTTTTCAAAATGCTTTTACTGTTGATTAAAATTTGCATTAAATGAATTATCTAAAGATTAATTTCATTTTTGAATATTTTAAAATAATATTATATATTTTATTTGTTATTGTATCTTTAATTTTATTTTATTTACCTTTTAAAAATTCATTTTGATGCATAAATTATAAATAATAAATAATAAATAATAAATCATGTATAAATGACTTCATATATTTTTATGATGCATATAGTACCTTTTTATATGTTTTTCACTGCAATAATAACATTTATTAGTTAATATTATTGCCAAGGCTATCCCTTTTAACAACTTGATCTATAACATAAATGCACATATTTTGTTTGTAATATCTTATAATATATTTATTTTCGAACTTTAACATAGATATCATAAAAGCCTTAAATTTATTTATTTATTGGAGTTTTTTTATCCTCTTATGTTAGATATTTTTCCAGGATCATCACATCAAAATATAATACGAGAAATGTTGTAGTGTGATCATAATATTAGTTAAAGCACAAACTGTTATAAGTATATATAGAACTATCTGTCATAAATAAGTTCACATTAATTTACATGATAAACATAATTTTTGTGTTAAATTTTATTCTTATCTGAATAATTGTTTTATTTGCATAGCGAAGTATATGTTCAGCTAATTGAATTTGTGAATGGTGTAGGTTATATTTCTTCCAAAAGATAAATCAGTTATTCATTGCATATAATTATTAGATAATAACAATTCTAATATTATATAAGTATCTGCTTTGAATAATTCTTGATTTTTTTCTTTAGAAAATAATTAGCAATTTGAAGTACTATTTTAAAGATCTCTAATTGAAATTTGGAATTCCTCCTGATATCTTTATTTTTGTAAAATAATTACCTTTTTTCACTATAAACTCAAATTACTTGTCAAAGTTTATTATGCCACCCAACATGTTTAATTTAAGATTTGTTATTTTTCTTCCATAATTGAATTTGCTAACCCAATAGATTATAACCGTAAAGGTTTGATTGATGTGGTTATTATTATTTGGTTTAATATGCTGTTAAAAAAAAATTGTTATACACTAGGCAATAAAATTAATATAGAAGATGTGGAGTACTGTATATTTAATTTATTTATTAAATATAATTGTATAACTATTATATAACTCTTCTATTAAAAAAAATAAAACGAACGAGTTATTTTATATAAAAATTATATCTTTTAAATATTGTTATGCTAAATAAATGTTTTATTATTTTTAATGCAGCAAAAATTTATAATGTTCATAAATTTAGTAAATATCCTTATTTACTATTACTAAAATTTAAATGTTCGATATTTACAAATATATAATATTATAATGCTCATACATTCTTTAGTCAAAAATTTATATGTAATAAAATTTAATTCTTTTTATCACTATTTATTAATTTTTCAAAAAAAAGAAAAAAAACAAATTTTTTTTTTATAGATCCCTATATATATATATATATTAAAAAAAAATTAATTTTCCTAAAAAAAATGTCATTAAAATAAAAATAAGTTATTGTTTTTTATTATTTGCACCATTATATACCTAATACTTTTTTTTTGAAGTATGCATAATTTTTAGTTTACATAAATTTTAATGTATGAATTTTCCAAATACCTTCTATAAACAACTAAACTTTTATTTGTAGACTATTTAATTCTTTTAAAAGTTCAAAAATTTTAAAAATAATCTTTATTAACAATGTAAATCGAAATATTAAATTTATTCAATTTTAATTATTTTTTCTTTAATTAAACCTAAGAAATAATAACATAATATTAATAAATCATTTGCAAAATATTATTATCGTTAAAATAAATTACTCAACTATATCATGAAAATAAAATCATTATAAAAATTAGAAATTTTTTGATATTACCATCACATGTTTAAGTTTTAAATTTTAAATTTCATTTTCTTCATTATTTTAATCTAAAATGTATTTTTTTTATTATAATAAGCATAAATACTAATATATTTAAAAGTATATAGTATCCGCATTTTTTTTTCAACGACTTTTTATGATTTTAATTATTACAACATTAATTTTCTTATCTGAATGATTCTTATTGTACTTTTCATTGCAATATTTTTATTTCATTGTAGAAAAAATTATATTTTTATTAAATTTTTTTATTATATTTTATTACGAAATTATGACTATTTTATCATTACATTATTTTCTAAAAACTTGTGAATTACATTATGAATTTCCAAAATATAAACATTACAAGAAATTTAGTAAAATGATATATATAAGAATATATAAAATTTAAAAAAAATTTTATTATATCTTTTTATATATAGGCCCTATATTTATTTTAGCGTAGCTTGTTTTTCACACATGTATATTATTCATTGTTACAAATGTTAATACCTCACTATCATTATAACTTCATTTGTATTCTTGTAGTAAGATGGATAAAATATGCATTATTTATTTTTTTAAAAATAACTATGATAACTAATATATATGTATAAATTTTTCCTTATATAAAGTAATATTTGTGAATATGTAAATTATTTACTACATTAACTCACAATTTATTTGTTAATATTACAATTTTTAAGTAAGGGTGATAATTAATTAATTTCTACTTAAGAATTTCACATAATTCATAATAAGAATAATCATTATTATTTTTAGTTAACTATTATTTGGTTAATTTAAATTTCTATATTTCGAATGATTGCATTATTAAAAAGATTTTAATGTAATATAACCTTCTATGTATAACATAAATTATTTTTAATATTTAACATAGTTTTAATTATAAGAACATCATCTAAATATTATAATCAAAGTATGTAGTACATAAAAAAATACTTTTACTAAATCTATAACTATTTATTATAGAAAAATTTATATCAAAATATTAAAAAACGCTGTATTTACATATATTATTTTTTATTCTTAATAAATCAAAGATTTTAAGAAATTAAATTTTAAAAATTAGAACAATAAAATTCCTTATTAATATTTACAAAAATTGATTAGGAAATTTAAATACTTAAGAGAAATAAAGCATGTAAAAGGGATAATTATTGCACTCACCGTTATTATAAAACATACCTTAAAAAAAATTGCTTACAGACTGAACAATAAAAAAATTGAAATATTAATATAAAAAAATAAAAAAAGAAAATAAATACATTTATATAGTAATAAATATCTATCATTTAGGCATATAAAGACAAAAAAAAAAAATTTTCTTTTACATTTAAATAGAAAATTATCACAATGTATATTTAATAAGCTATGTTATAATTCTATTTTATCTTTATAGATATATATCTCCAAAAATACATACCTTTAGATTTTCAAAGAAAAAATTCATTATAATTAATTAAAGATATATCAAAAAATTAATATAAAAAACAATATTTTTATTAATTTTAAAGCTTATAATTATTAGTCATATAAAAAGAAGATTTATAAAAAAATATTTTTACAATGTATTTTATAAGTGGAAGATTATTCATTATTTCCTTTAGAATAAATAAAAAGTGCATTTTCTAAAAAAAAATAAAAAATGTTTTTTCTAAATACACTTTTTATAGTAAATACATAGTTAAAAAAATAGTAATTTTCCTTTTTTTTTTTTTTTTAATTTTGTTTAATTTATTTGAGAAGTACACAAAATATATTATTCTAATTTCTTTATAATATATAAATATTTTCATTTTTTCCCTTGTACTCTTCAAAATTTTTTTTTACCTTGTTTAAAATAATTTAATTATTTTTAAAAATAATTATAATAACAAAAAATAAATATAAGTATTGTGAATAAAAAATTATCAATAATAAAAATCAAGAAGAAAAAAACAGGAAGAAAAAAAAAGCAACAGAAAAATAAAAAAAATTCCTACATTTAAAGGAAAATCATACTCAAAAATTGCTTTCATTTTAAAAATTATCTCAAAAAAATAAGTATATTGTATGAAAAATGCATGCTTACAAAAATTAATTTTAAACATTTTTTTTTTTCTTTTAATGAAGATTGATCCCTCTAATATATCTAGATTTATACCTGTAAAATATTAGATATAAAATAATGTTTAATAGGTATGTTACCCTAAAAAAAAATTGATTAAGTAAAAATAAAAAATTTTATTATTATTAAAAGTATATCATCTATAATTTTAATGTATAACAAACAATATATAATTTTTTTTTACCTACTTTAAAGATGAATAAAATTTTACTGTAATATTTTTAAAATAACTTTACCTATTTTAACATATTTTATTTAACTTATAAACATTATTATTTATTTTATTTTTAAAAAAATTAATAGTATTCATCATATGTATATGTAATACTATATATAAATATAAAAAATTAGGAATTATATTCCATATAAACAAATAATTTTTTACCTTAAAAACATAAAATATTAACAAGCGTTACACCTAAAACTATATTGCAAATCATTAATTTAGAATTAATGAAAATAAAAATAGTTTTACATTTGAATCAATAACTTGAGCTTTAATATTATATTATATAAGTATTAAAATGAAAACATTTACTTTATATATGAAGATTTCTACATTATTTCTTTTAATTTGGATGTTCCAATTCTTTTATAACGTAAGTTCATATACAAAAAAAAACATATAGATACATTTTGTTTCTAACTATTTTTAACATTTTAATTTATTACTCTAAAGAAAAAAATTTTTTTTTGAAAAATTTTTATTTTATGTGATAGTATGATTCTAGTAAATCTTTGCTTGATCAAAATACGTTAAATATAAAAAGTTGTTTAAATTATGAAAGAATGTTAGCGGAGGGTAGTACATCAGAATGTGAAGAGCAAAGTGATGCTGAAGAATTTGTAGAGGAAAATTCATCAGATGAAGAAGACAGTGAAGTTAAAGATGTACTTGCACTTAGTAAAGATGTGAAAGATAGATGGTCTAAACTCATTGATAAGATGTGGGAACAATACCAAAACGAGACATCCATGATGAGTAAGAGATGGAGAGGGCGCAAATGGCATATTGATTGGCATATAATTTCATCTAAAAAAATTAATGATCTGCATACATTGATTCTTGAACTTGGAAAACCAAGTGAAGAAAGAAGAGAATTAATTGATAAAACATTTAAAGAACTTCAAGAGGATTTTTCCAAATTTTTACATGATTGTAAGGAAGAATGGAAAAAACAGCCAAAACAAAAAAAAAAAGTAAAAACTAGAAAACGTAAATTAAGGAAAACAAATGCACCAGTTAAGGAAGGTAAAATAGAAGGAAAAAAAGATTTTGAGACATTATCAAAGGAAAATATAAGTTATAAAGATAAAATGGAAGGAAAAAAAGATTTTGAGACATTATCAAAAGAAAATATAAGTTATAAAGATAAAATGGAAGGAAAAAAAGATTTTGAGACATTATCAAAAGAAAATATAAGTTATAAAGATAAAATAGAAGGAAAAGATTTTGAGACATTATTAAAAGAAAAAATAAGTTATAAAGATAAAATAGAAGGAAAAAAAGATTTTGAGACATTATCAAAAGAAAATATAAGTTATAAAGATAAAATAGAAGGAAAAAAAGATTTTGAGACATTATCAAAAGAGAATATAAGTTATAAAGATAAAATAGAAGGAAAAAAAGATTTTGAGACATTATCAAAAGAAAATATAAATTATGAAGATAAAATAGAAGAAAAAAAGGAAGACCATACTAAAAAGTGTCAAGTTTCCCTTAACCCTCAGGAAGCTAAGTGGATAGATGATTTGAAGAAAACTCTGGAAAATTTGCAAAAAAAAGAAAGTAAACAATTGGAAGAGGCTAATGATAAATACAAAGGGGAAGATTTTATAAGCAATGCCACTACCATTATGAAAAATAATAATGATTATTGGACAAATTATTTGCGTGTAAAGATAAATCAATTAAAAGATCAATATGGATTAAAAGGTTATGATGCTAAATGATTATAGAAACAAACAAGGGAAGTAATATAATCATAAAAAAGCTGTTGATTGTAATGATTGATAATGGTGAAGTAGGTTGTCGAAAAAAATGATAATAATTATTATATAGATTATATTAGTAGTTTAAAAAGGAAAGAAGGGAAGATTTAAATATATATATATATATATATATATATATATATATATATATATATATATAGATAATATAGAAAGAATGAAAAAATATAATAAACGTATAAAGTATTTCGAAAATTTGAGTGATCAATATAGCATTTTTTTTATAGCTTTTATATGTTAATAGAAGTTAATCTAGTTGTAAGATATTATTTTTAGTTTAATTTTAGATTTTTGTTAATTTTTTTTTTATTTTTCATCTCAATTAACAGACTAAAATTAAAAGGGAAAGTAGCCTCAATAATTATGAGCTGCTATTGTAAGTGATCTAAAAATATTTAAATGAATGCTTTCAATATTATTAAAGAAAAAAATATTAGTTTGTTTTATATGTATATACGTAAAGCATTTTATTATTGTAATTTTTAACTTTAGACTTAGCTTTAAAATTAATTTATTTTAGAAATATTTTAATTGTTTTCTTTGTTTTATTTAGATTTCACATACCTAATTTTATTTTGTATTTCATTTTGACCTTTAATTTTTTTATTTTCATATGAACTTAACCTTTTCTTTGAACTTTTTTATTTTAATATGAATTTTATGCTCATTAAAGGTATTTTAACCTAATTTTTTAAATTTCTTTCATTGTACTATATTATCATCGATATAAAAGTCACTACAATCACATAAAATTGAATTAATGTTATATTTTAATAATAAATATAAAATTTGTCACAATTATTAGATCTATTTTTAATCCTATATTAACAAATACACAAAAAACTTAATTGATTTCATAGAATTAATCTCTTAATTTTAAATAAAAATTGTTTCTTTTTATTAAGTCATAGTTAGAATTTTGGTTAATTGCACTATCAATATAGATTTGCCTAATTTTTTAAATTATATGGTTATAGTTAATATATATGGTTCTAATATATATTGCAATAATTTAAATCTTTTTTATGAGTTAACTTCATGTTTAATGCTATGTTATAAATACAATGAATGATCTTTACAAAGAATATTTAAAAGCTTTTTAAGTTTGGCTGACAAAAGAATTGTTAACTCTTTTCTCTAATGATAATGTTGTACTAATAATTTATTGACTATTCAAACGCTTTTATAATATTTGAAACAGTTAAATTTATAGAGCATGCGTAGAAACTTCTACTTATTTAATACATTGAATATTAACTGTAATAAATAATAATTAATTCTTTATAAATTGTACCAAATAGTTTAAAAAAATATATATTTTTTTTTATAATAAAATTTTATTGATATAGTTTTTTAATAATTTATCTCTTAATATCAATTTTATTATATGTCTCTTATTTAAGTTAACATTTACGCACCACACAAATTATTATCCTTTATCTTTCAAAAAAAAAAAACATAAGGAAAAAAAAAATAATATGCAAATGATATACATATATATTTTTCCTAATGTATATATCTCTAAAGGATTAAATGGCTATTTTGAGATTTTATATTGTAATAGTGGATGATCATGAAAAATTTCTAATACATGCAGCATATATAACAGTTATATGTCAAATTATGTCTGAAGACATGAGCAACAATTTTGTCTACATGAGAAGACCACAAAGTGGTTTACCAGAATTTATGTCTTTTGATATCTAATAGCGCACATTTATAAAATGTTCATTATAAAAATAAACTATTAGAAAAAAAAAGAAATTATTTTTTTCATTTTTTTTAGGGAAAATAAATAATTTTTAATTTTTTTATTAAATAACTATTTATGAATGTTATAATAACTATGAGATATATAAAATAAATATACTTATATGATTGTAAATAGATAATTATATAAAAGGTATATAATTATTAATATATTAACATATTTATTTTTTGGTAAATAAGTAACCATATAAAAGATATGTAACTAATCACACTAAGAGTGCTTATAATATACAAAATACATAAAAATCTCTCTATATCTTTATTAATTTGAATATTCAAAGCACTGTAAAAATCCTTCAGCATTCAATTAATAAATCATTATACTAAAGAAAACATTGCAATATACTCTTTCGTGTGTACACATTTTGAAACTCATGCTTATAAATCAGTTATTCAATAACTTTAATAATGTAATGAAAAAGAAGGTTAATAAAGAATATGTATAGGTGTTTTTACTAATTTATCTGTTGTAAAATTATATTGGAGCTACAATGAGTAGAGCTAATATATATAGTTTACATAATTGAGTAATTTATTGTTTTTAGAGGTATTTAGGTACTTTAATAAAGTTATCTTTATTTTTATTAAAAACTTAAATCTCTATTAAAACTATTGATTATATTCAAAAATAATTTCTGGAAACATTATAACAAATTTTAATTATAGTTATCAGAAGTATTTTAATATGTGCATGAAAATTAAAATATTAATAAAAATAAAATCCTCTTTGTTTTCCTTTTGATTTGATATTTATTTTTTATTGATTTAAAAATAAATATAACATACAAAAATTTCAACAAACTAATCAATTTCTCAAAAAAAAAATAATTAAATTTTAAAAAAGTATTTAACTAGACAACTCATAAAAATAAAAAAAAAGTAATAATTATTTTTTTTTTGAACTAATGATTTATTATTTGACCGTTAAAGGACTTTTATAGAATTTTAAATAGTCAAATTAATAAGGAGAATGTATAAAGACTTCTTCTTATTTTATTAATCGCATAATTTATTTATGTAATTAATTATATATTTCCCATATAATTATCCATTAAGAATAAATTAAACATATTTACTATATATCTTATAGTTTTTATAATTTCTTGCTATAGTTTTTATAAAACTATAAAAGAAAATACTTCTCTATACTTTTTAAAAAAAAAAAAAACTAAAAAAGGAACATCTTTTTTTTTAAAAAAAGTTCAAAATTAATTATTTTATATAATTTTGTTATTAATGGCATTCATATTTTATGAGAAAACTCTTAATGGAATTAAGAAGATACATATTTTCTTTGTTAGCTACTTTGTTATTTTTTTGTGCATACAGGAAATTGACGTATATGTCATTATAAATATATCTTCATAAATATCTTCTAATCATCTTGCATGCATAGACAGCTCTTTAAAACGAGTCATTATTATATATATTATCAAAAAGATTAATAATGTCTTTTATTCACAACTATTGAATGCGTAAAGGTACCTAACTTTTTTAAGTTATTATGCATTATTTTAAAGAGGTTAACCATATGTTTTCTTAATATGATGCTTATATACATGCAATTCAATGTACGTAATTTTCTTAAATACCTTATATATACATGCAAACTACCTTCTATATTATATTTCTTATTATTGCAAATGTGAATATATTAATAATGTAACCTAACTATCAACTAAGGTGTTCACATAAATAACATTTATATTTAACTAAATATTAGATAAATAGTTAATAAAATAAATTGTAAACATTTTTATTTAAAGATACATCATAGAAATCTGCAAATTACAATATTCACGTACTTTATTAATTGTTAAACGGAAAAAAAACATATAGGTAAAAAGATACAAAAAAATAAAAATGATATAAATAAAAACACAAACTAGAGAGATACTTTTCTTTTTTTTTCTTTTTTTTCTTTTTTTTTTCTATTTTTTTTTGAAAATTTTATATTAAAGATGCAATTTTTTTTGTGAAAAGAAGAGTTGCATTGAACATGCTTATTTAATTTAGGAAAATTAGTTTTCTTTTTATATGGTTTATTATACAATTTCTTGAAATTATGTTACAATATTGAAAATACAAAATAACAAAGAGTGTGTAGAATTATCTGTACCAATTTAATTGTTGTAAACGTAATATTCATTTTACAAACTAGTAAACTTTATATATATAGTTTGTATTATTGAGAACTTACTGTTTTCAGAAACATTAATTTATTTCCTTAAAAATCATCTTGTTTTTATTAAAAATTTAAATTCTCGTTAAAATTAATAATTGTGTGTAAAGGTATTTTAATAGTATTTTTATGAAAAATTAGCATATAGTTTTCTTTTCACTTCTTTTGAATTAATTAAAATAGCTAAAAATTAATGCTCTGTTCTTTTTTTTTCAACTTACTTTTTTCTCAACAATAAAAAAAAAATATAAAACTAAAGAAAAAATAACTTTTTTCTTTTAAAATTAGAGAATTTTAATGAAAAACTTTATAGTTTCAATAAAACTATTATTATCTCAAAATGATTAAACTTGCTATTAAGAAGTTGATTAAGAAAAGGTATTAACCTTTTTGAAAATAAAAGGTAATAGTTGTATGGAAAATAAATAATCACATAAATGTTAGATAAAAAAGAAAAGAAAAGAAAAGAATTGTCAATTCTTTTTGTTTTCTTTTTGTAAATTTAAAATATATAAAAAAATATATTTATTTTTTTTAAATGATTTAAAAAATTGTCAGAAAAATAGAAGAGTTGTTGATCAAATTTAATGTAATATATTTTTGTTTAAATTTATATAAGAAAATTATATATTAAAGGAAATATAATTTTCGTGTTTTACAGTGTTTGTATTATTTATTTTTTATTTTGCTAATTATTTATGTTTATTAATTTGAGATCAATAGATTTAAATTGATAAAAATTACTAATAACATTATAAATAAAATATATGTAATTGAAATAGATAATCAATGAGGATTTGCATTTTTAATAAAAATATAGGATTTTTATTAAAATAAATAAATTTTTAATCATGTGAATTATGTATAAGACAGTTTATTGGTTTACAGAATTAAAATTGCATTAAATTTATGAAATTAGTAGAGGAAATATACAAGCTCTTTATTAATCTGTTTATTCAATGCTCTAACAAAGTCATTGAATAGACAATTA